CTGCTCATCAAGCCATGCTGAGGTGGCGTCCCACATGCCACAACTAGAAGGACCCACAACGAAGAATATACAACTATGTACCGGGGGGCTTTGGGGAGAAAAAGGAAAAAAATAAAATCTTAAAAAACAAAAAAAAGAGGACAGCTTTTGGACCTATAAAACCTGCCCCCTGACCCCCCACAAAGATCCAGTACATTTTAGGACATTATCTCCTATAGCGTCAAAAAGGAAGCATTGTAACTACGACAGCCAGACTCAGGTCAGAGGCTTCGTGGACTCAGTTCATGGGCTGGGCAGTTCTCAGTTGCCCAGAAGAACACGTGCTAAAGGTGGAGATGAACACGCCTTTAGATCGCAGCTATTCCTTTTCTTTTTTTAAGATTGCCACGTGAGCTAACAACTATTGCCAATCTTCTATTTTTTTAATTCTTCGCCCCAAAGTCCCCCAGCACATAGTTGTACATTCTAGATGTGAGTGCCTCTGGCTGTGCTATGTCGGACGCCACCCCAGCGTGGCCTGCCGGAGCAGTGTCACGTCCGCACCCAGGATCCGAACTGGCGAAACCCTGGGCCGCTGAAGCGGAGCGGACGAACCTAACCCCTCCGCCACGGGGCCAGCCCAACACAGCTATTCCTTTAACCACTAGCAACAGCAACAGCTGCTCTGGACAAAGTCCCTTCTTTGGGAAGAATGCTAGATTGCTTTCAGCTGCAACAGGCAAAGAGTTTAGGGGTAAAGGAGAAACCAGAAGAAGCCATTTATACGTCACATGATAACCACAGGACAAACTACCCAGTGTTTCACCTTTGAACTGCAATGATTTTCAACACCTAAGGAAAAGCAATGAAATAAAGCAAGCTGTTGCTTGCCTTGGACAAGACATTATTAGCAGGCTTCTTCACGGTATCTGTGTAGACCCAATGTTTCTACAGTGCTTCACGGTGGAAACCACAGTGGATAGTTCCAGAACTGTACCGCAAAACACACACAGCCAAAGGAAGACCACCACCCACCACACTCCTGCACTGAGCACTTCAAAAAAACACTGTTTCAGCACCCCCTTAAAAAAACCAACCTCATGAAGTAGTTCCGTTATGATCTCTAGCACTATCACGAGGGCTCTGAAATGCAGGTGGGAGGGCACTCGCAGCTTCCCTGCTCGGGACAGAGGCTTCCACCCAGCTCTTGACCACTTAACTGACCCAAGAGTACCAGACCTGAAGTCTCGAGGGCACCGTGTGTTCTCGGCCACCTTCAACTGCAGTTCCTAAGAGAAGCCAAGGACAGACCCACACGGCGCTGCGCCACGATGCCCAGCAGCCCACCAGGTGGACTCTGCTCACGAGAAGGAGATCCCTCAGGACAGCCATGTGTTCACAATGCTCCAAAGACGGTTTCTTAAGTGTAAGGTATAAGAGATTAAGAGCCTATTAACCATGAAGGGAAAAAGTCTAAAAATAAGCACATGAAACAACCCAAATGTCCAGCACCGGATGAATGGATAAACAAAACAGAGCCTATCCACACAATGGAATATTATTCAACCGTAAAAAGCAGCGAAGCACTGACACATGCTAGAACATGAATGAATCTTGAGAACACTGTGCTAAATGCAAGAAGCCAACCACAAGAGGCCACATATTGCAGGACTCCATTTATACGAAATGTCCCTAACAGGCAAATCCACAGACAGAAAGTAGAGTAGCGGCTGTCAGGGGCTGGGGGGGATGAATGGGAAGTGACTGCAAATGGGTACCAAGTTTCTTTTAGGGGTGATGAGAACGTTCCGGAATTAGATAGTAGTGATGGTTGCACAACTCTGTGAATACACCAAACACCAGTGAATTGTACACTTTAAAGAGGAGAGTTATATAACATATGAATTAAATCTCAATAATATTGTTATTTAAAAAAAAAAGCATATACCTTAGCATATTATCACTTACACAGAGAAAAGACCACAAAGGATAAATCTAAATTTTTTTTAAAGCTATGGCTTTATACTTAAATAAAGCAAAAGGACAGAGGTAGTGTGAGTGCAAACCGACCATTATCACCAGCTGACACTGGACTTCAGGAGCAGCACAGCCACAGCAGCTACTGCAGGCGACCGCCAGCTTTACTGCTGCGAATCCATGTCTACTGAGCACGCTCACACTACCTAACTTCTACACGCCCTCCAAGCAACAGGAATGTTAAAGTAACACGGTGAGGGTCTGGAGAAGCATTGCAAATAATGACAATATCAGTTAGAAGTATCACTTTAAATAGGATAAAGGACAAAAATCAACATCTTTATCTCTAAAAGATAAACATAAAGTCTCTAAGCTCAAAGAGTTCAAAACAAAATACAATAGCTTACAAAAGAACTGCAAACAAAGCTTTAAGGGTGCTGCTTTTTCAGGATACATTAACTGTCAGATTCAGAGATACTAAGAAGGCAAAATGTTTAAATGCTAGATTTCATGAATTGCCGACTGCAAGCAGCAAAGCGTTTATCAATGTCAGGCCTTAACTTTAAAGGCGGCAAAGGAAGAGAAAGTTAAATGAAAGTGACTGAAAGGAGCTTAGCAGAGACCCGGGGGGTGCAGGGAAAACTAGACACCACGGTTGTTCTGAAATACGAAAACAATGGCTCCAGAGTTACTCATTATAACCTCATGATTAAGGGTTAGGCAGAATTCTCCAATTTCCCACGGATGAACAAAAAAAATGGTCAGTTCCAAGTAACTATTCAAAAATCAAATTAGAAAACACAAACACTTGGAGACATAAACATTGCCTCTGCAACAACGTGCCTTAAGTTAGCACCCCTCTCTAGCCAGGGAGGACACTGGCAGAGAATGCAGCGCTCACGGCACATCTGCTGGGCCCTTCCCATGAGACCTCAGGGAACCCTCCAACACCCCTGAGGCAGGGAGCCTGCCCTCTTCTCCAACAGGGAAACACCAGGAGGAGGCCAAGGCCACACTGGTCAGTTCGGCACCCATGCAGGTAGGGGTGAGGAGAGGGGTAGATTAGCCCCTTCATCTCATCAAAGGGATTTGTGGCTTACAGAAAGGCTCTCTTATAAAAGACATTTTTGTTCTACCTTTAGTACGCTGCCCTGCCAAAATAAAAATTGCCGTCTTCTGCTTTGCTAAAGTGATACAGCTGCACACACAAAAGACTCCCCTTCAAGAGCTGAACAGGACTGGAGTAACAGCCCTAGACATCACCGGTGCACAGCCTCCAAACAGAAGACGAACAGCAGTGAAACCGACCAGAAGGAACCAACAGCCCATGAAAAGGTGACATTCTGCTGGCACCCCAAGGTTTGCTGAGCTCCCTAAGACAACCGCATTTCCTAGGACCCCGCTTTCTCTTTGTTGTAGCTGGAAGGACATTTTTCTGCCCAGTGCACAACGGGATTCAGAGTGGGATTTGAACGCACACTTAAAAAGAAAACCAGTCTCAGAGATCAACGTCACCAAAAAAGATGCGATGTAGATTTAAACCAATGTAGGTACCACAACCACATCTTAGGGGAAGACATTAAAGAACAAAAGCCGCAATCCACGGTTGAAAGACAGTTAGAAACCACCGCAGGCAAACCAGAGAAAATCAAAGCTTTAACTCCGAGCTCAGACACTGTCAGAAGGCGTGAGCACCGCTGGTCCTGACTGCAATCTCTTCCTTCCAAAGAAAGTCAGCTTGCCATCTAAAGACACACACCACACTGGGTCAACTAGAAACCCTTCTTCGCGGAGCACAGTTTTGGCACTGGGTCCCAGGGGGCTGTTAAAAATAAGCCTAAGCCCCAAACACGTTGTGTTTACATAGTTTTGAAACATTCAGACAAAAGTTCACATTTTTAAGTGGATGACCACGATGCCCTTCCTGTTTAATGTGGAGACAGGAGATCATAACTTAACATTCCTTATAAGACCGACACCCTCCGACTCCAAGTCAGCCTGGGATTTGTTTCTACTGAGGGAGGGGGGTCACCAAGAAATAACTGTTTCACATACATGGAAGGCTCTCAACGCGTTTTTCTTTTACAGTAACCTGGCTCTTAAGCACACACACACACACACAATATAAACAGATATACAAACACACGTATCTACACACACACTCAATACGTGCATTCACAAGCACATACATGCACGGGTGCACGCACATCACAGGCAGCGCACACACCGTGGTGTGCGGCCCACCGCCACCCTAACCTCCCAGCGGCCACACCGCCCACTCAGGGACAATCGACACCTAGGCCTTGGGGGCATGAGCACCGCATCCCGCTAACGTCTTCTAAGGTTCTAGCGCCTTCTAATCTCCACCTCACTAGCGGCTTCCTTTTCTGGTAATAAACACCAGATTTGGAGAAATCAAGGCGACACAACGTGCAACACTCATCTGTTGCCCAAGAGCCCGATTAAAGGGACAAAGGCTTTAGAGGACTTCCAGCCGACGATGGGAAAGAAAGGCACAAAGGGGCCGCGAACTCTGCCCCGGGGCGTTCTTCCCCGGGAACCGAACGGAACCGCGGGCCCCCCACCTCCTGGAGCCCGGGCGCCCCGGCGAGGAGATCCCCGGGGCCCTTCCGCGGCCCGAGGCGAGTGCGACCGCCCCCAAGGGCGCAGGGTGCCGGGCGGGGTCTTGGGGTGCGGGTTTGGGGCTTGTGGTGAGGATGGTGGTTTGGGTGCAGGGTGGAGGCTTGGGACACGGAGCGAAAGCTTAGGGAGCGAGTGGGGGTTTGCAGTGGGACGTTTGCCTTGCGAGGAGGTGGCTGGGGTCGCGGGTAGCGCGTTCTTGTGTCTTGGGGTGCCGGTGGGGGTTTGGGACCCGGAGTGAAAGCTTGGGGAGCCGGTGGGGTTTTGGAGCGGCAGCATGAGATGCAGGTGGGGGTCTGGGGTGGAGGCCTGACGCGCAAGTGGAGGTGTGGGGTGCGGGCGGGGGTTTGGGGGTGTGCGGCGTAAGCCTGGGGTCGGGCCGGCCGCCCCGCGCGGGCACGCACCTTGTGGCAGGCCGGGCAGGTGGGCAGCGCGCTCTTGCCCGCGGGGCCCCCGCCGCCGCCGCCGCTCAGGCTGCTCTGGATCTGCGTGAGCTCCTGGCGCAGCACCTGCTTCTGGTGGAAGCTGAAGGCCGGGTGGTTGGAGGCCATGGTGAAGAGCAGCAGGAACTCATCGCCCGTGCGGCCCTCGTTGAGCTGCAGCCCGTAGTTGTGGATGATGGAGTCGATGTGCGTGAGCGTGCGGTAAAGCACGCCCGCCGCCTCGCGCTGCTCCGAGCCCAGCAGCGCCAGCGACACGAGCAGCTTGCTGCGCACCACCTCGTCCGTCAGGTTGGTGAGGCTGCCCAGGTCGGCCGGGTTGTTGGCCTTGATCTCCGAGTCGCGCAGCGAATGGTAGTCCTTGCGGGCCAGGTCCTCGAGGCACGAGCCGAGGAAGCGCAGCTCGAGCGGGATGCACAGGTCCAGCAGGCCGCACAGGAACTCCACGCGCTGCGGCGACGGCAGCTCCGAGAACCAGCGGTACACGCCGTCCCTCTGCAGCGGGCAGCGCTTCTCCACCATGCTGCCGCCCGCGCCGCGCCGGGGCCCGGGGCCGGGGGCCGCCGCCCGGGGCCGGGGGCGCGGGCGGGCGCGGGCGCGGGCGGGCGGCGCGGCGGGGCCGGGCGAGGGCGGGCGGGCGCCGCGGGCCGGGCCGGGGCCGGGGGCGCGCGGCGCGGGCGAGACCCCGCCAGGGCCGGCGGGCGGGCGCGCGCGGGGCGCCGGGGGGGCCCGGGGCGGCCGGGGCGGCCGGGGGCGGCGAGCGGCCTCGGGCCCCCCGCTCACGGCCGGGCTCCTGGCCCGCGCCCGTCCCCAGCGGCGGCCGGTGCGCGGCGGCGGCGGCGGCTGCTCCTCGTCGTCGTCGTCGTCGTCGCCCGGGAGGCGGCCGCCCCCATCTCCCCCCGCGCCGCAGGGTCTGTCACTGCGGGCCGCCCCCCGACGGAGCCGCCCGGGCCATGCCGCCGCCGCCGCGCCTGGGCCGGCCGTTACCCGGGACGAGGCCGCGGGCGGGCGCCTCGCGAGGGCGCCTCCGGAGCGGGCCGCGACGGGCGGGCGGGCGGGCGCTGGGGGACGCGCGGGCGGGCGGGCGGGCGGGCGGCGGAGGGATCTGCCGGCACTCGCCGCGGCCTCGCGTGCAGGCTCCCCGCGCCGCGGACGGATCCGGGCCGCGCCGCCGCGTCCGCTGCTGACGGGCGCCGGGACGAGGCGCAAGTGGGCGGGGTGGCCGCCTCTCGCGACAGCCGGGCCGGCCGGGCCCGCCCCCCCCGCTGATTGGCTCGGGCTGCCCCCTCTCGGCCCGTGATTTTTCCGGGTCCCCAATCCGATTCGCCCGGGCTGCGGCCACGCCTCTCAGGAGCTGTCGATCATCTTGGAGCCGCCCCGTCCCGCCCCTCGGCGGCCGGCGGAGTCGATTGGCCGGCGGGGCCGGAGGGTCGGAAAACCCGGGGCGGATTTCTGGTTGCTTTTGTTCCTGCAGATTTGCGTGGAGCATTGTTTGGGGTGAAAGCCGGGCGTCCGGCCTTCCTGTTTTATTCCCAAGCGTCACAATAGGGAGGTGGCGGGGGCCTTCGAAAAGCCGCTGGAGTGGGGCTCCGGAGACCCGAGTCTCCATCCTGGCTCTGCCTGCCAAGCTGTGTGACCTTGGGCCAGTCGCTTGGCCTCTCTGAGCCCTGGGCGCCATCCCCGAAAAGGAGGATACTAACAACCGCCCTGGAGGCCTGTGAGAAGGCCGTGAGCTCACAGAGGGCTGGGATCCGCATTTCTGAGGTGGCAGGCCTGCCTAGGGATGGGACGGGAACAAGCTCTCTCTGAAAACCTCGCCCACTGGAGCCCTTAGTCAGCGGGTTACTTCCTCGGCTTGGCTCCAAAGGAGAGGATGCAAGTACACGGGCCAGGGGTCAGGGAGCAGAAGGGACGCCCCCTCCCCTGGCATTTGCGTGGGCACCGGCTTGCAGGCTGCACAAAGGCAGGGGAGCAGCCGGTGCGTCTGACCACCTTTAAATCCTACAGCCGCAAGCAGCGGGTCATCCATTAGCAGATGAGGAAACTGAGACCCAGAGCAAGACATTCGTTCCTCCCTGTTCTGGCTCAAGAACCCTCCTTCGACGTCTTGTGGTCTCGGCCGGGGTCAGTTCATTCATTGGTCCAGCAGCTGTCTGGAGGCCAGGTGCGCGCCAGGTTCTGAGCCCAGGGGGAGGGCCGTGTGCACAGCGTGCCCTCCTCGCCCTGTGGAGCTTACAGCCTGGCTCTAGGCAGTACACACCGTTGAGTTATTGAATAAAGGGATGCATTTCTTCGGGACATGGTCCAAGGTCCTGGAAACTTCCTAACAAAGCGTTCGCCAGCCTTGGGACTTCACAGTTGAACAGATGCCGCAGAGCCATAGTTGGGGGAAAAAGACAATTTGCTTCCTACCCACCCCCCACCCCTCTCCACACCCTGGACAAGTTTTCCTGGAGCCACCCCGGTGCTCTTGGCCAGCATAGGAAAGAGCAGGAATCCAGGTGAAGGTCAGTGTGGCTTCCCAAGGGTCTTAAATCCACCTAGGCATCAGGGACAAGGCTCGATCCAGCTGGTCTCCTCGCCTTATTTCCCAATACAGACTAATATCTGCGAATAATTGAGTGAATCCTGTTCCCTTTGACCTCACTTTTTCAAGTGATTCCAACGTAGTAGCCATGATCCAAAATTACAATACGAAGAAGTGAGGGAACATGGAGATCAAGATAGTTCAACGCCCTTGCCATCTGTTGATGAATGCAGCTCCCTGGAGCAGAAAGATCTTAGGACCTATGGCACCGAGGGGTTCCCCAAATCCAGCCTGACCTGGCTGTGAAACCCCCAAGCCCTGGTGCTAAGCTGACCTGGATTGCGGTCCCAACTCTAGCCGGCTGTGTGACGTTGGCCGTTCATTCAGCCCCTCTGAGCCTCAGTTTCCTTATCTATAAAAGGGAGCCAGGAACCCTGCCTCCCAGCTGGCAGTGGAGGTCGGAGATGCTAAGGGGAGCCCGCACTAGCTGGAATAACTGAGCCACAGAAGTCCCTGGATCAAGGTGCCCCAGCTCCCGACTGCCTTTTGGCCACTTCTGGCCATGCTGTTTGCTGTTTAACTTCTGCGCTGGGTTAAACAGTGTCCCCCAAAAGGTCGTGTCCACCCAGAACCTCTGAAGATGACTGTATTGGGAAATAGAGTCTTTGCAGATATAATTCAGGTAAGAAGCAAGGTGAGATCATGGATTAGGGTGGGCCCAAAATCCAGTGACAGTGTCCTCAGGAGAGACAGAAAAGAACAAGCAAAGACTCAGGGGAAAAGCTCCAGTGAAGACACTGGCAGAGGTTTGGAGCCAACGAGCCCCCAGGAGCTGGAAGAGGCGGGAAGGACCCTCCCCTAGCGCATCCAGAGCGGGCGCGGCCCTGCCCACACCTTGACTTTGGACTTCTGGCCTCCCAACTGGGAGAGGTGGATTCCCGCTGTGTCAGGCCACCAAGTTTGTGTTTCTGTGTTTCAGCAGCCCCAGGACACTCACGCAGGGTCATTTCCCCCTCAATTTCAGTAGCGCTCAATTGAAAGCAGTTCAACAGATGTTAAATGCCTACCCTGCGGGACAGACCCAACTGAGGGTTTGGAGACCTCTAAGGAGAATGAGACCCATTCTCTCAATTCAAAGGAACTGGCGGCCCGAATGCCTTGCCCTGAAGCGGCCGGGCAGCCCATCCACAGGAGTTTTTCCTTCTGTGTCCTGCTGCCTTCCCGGAAGCCGCCAGGGGCCCCCAGGGGAGAGGGTGGCTGCTGACCGTCAGCCCCTCCACACACTGTCTCTCAGGCCTGGCCTGAGACTTTGGTTTTCTCAGCTTCTTATCTGCTCCACCCGCCACCGCCCCACCCCCAGGCTCCTTCCCTAAGGCAACTCCAGCTCTGCAGAAAGTGACCCCTGGCTTCCAGCCGGACGTGAGCCCGTCTCCACCTCTGCTTTGACATCGGCTGCCCCATCGACAGAGTGGAGGGGCTGGGGATCTGTGGGGGGAAGCTGGGGAGGGTCTCGGGGTAGGTCAGAGGGTGGGGCGCTCCTCCACGGGAGAGGAATGGTGCCACAGGTGAGAGGGAGGTGGGGCCGTGTGTGCAGACCAGGAGAGGTTCCCGAAGGATGCCGAGTGGACGGCAGGTGCACTGGCTCCTTCAGCCATGCCCGCCACGTGCCTCAGTCGGGGCTGATGGTGCAGTGGGCCCCACCCTCAGGGAGTCATGGTATAGGGCAGGACGTTATGTCCATCTGCGTTTCCCACAGGGCTGGAACCGACCCGAAATTACTTTAGTATTATTTTTGAGAAAGGGAAAGAGACTTGGAGCTTACCACAAATTCCCCAAAGGATTTTGCAATGAAGATGTGATATGCCCGGGGTTAGTTCTTGCGTCTGAATTCATGATCTGACTGAATTACTGCGGGAGGGGGTGACAGGGCTGAGATGAGAGATGGGCCACCTGGACTCCATGTCCAGTGCTCAGCCCCCACCCTGTTGCCTTGCTGCTCCTTCCTCCTTTGGAACCCAGCCCGAGAGGAGGAGGCAGGGTTGTGATTCGGAAAAGGAAAACCGAGAATCAAGACAGACTCCCGCTAACACGAGAGTTCCTTTATCAGCCCGAGCGGGAGGTGCCCACACAGACTCCGGGCCTGGCCCCTCCACTCGTTCTTCCTTGAAGGAATGACGTCAGGGTGTGCGTGGTCTCCAGCTGGATGCAGATACTGAGTTCTGGGCCCTGCTTTCCTGCGATTGAGAAAGCGAAGGGGACCCAAGCCCCCAGGGTGCAGACCTTAAGAAGGGGGTCCCTGCTCTGACTGACAGGATCCTCACTCAGTGCCTGGCTCCTGGTAGCCTCGTGTGATTGCCACCGCCCCATGCGGCTGATCCGGATCTTGCTGTCACTGTTCCCGTTTCACAGATTCGAAAGGCTGAGTCGTGGGCCCGGAGCCATGCCGTTCATCTGTGTTGGAACCGGATTCTGACCTAAGTCAGTTGCCCAGGTTCTGTTCCTCCAGGAGGAAAGCACAAAAGCGACGTGCCGGGGCCAGCCCGGTGGTGTGGCCAGCCTGGTGGTGCAGCGGTTAAGTTCGCACATTCTGGTTCGGTGGCCGTGGCCGGGGGTTCTCTGGTTCAGATCCAGGGTGCAGATGTGGCACCACTTGCCAAGCCATGCTGTGTCAGGCATCCCACATGTAAAGTAGAGGAAGATGGGTACAGATGTTAGCTCAGGGCCAGTCTTCCTCAGCAAAAAGAGGAGGATTGGCAGCAGATGTTAGTTCAGGGCTAATCTTCCTGGGGGGGAAAGAAAGTGACATGTCGTTTATTTACTATTTCTGCAAACTAAAGATTCCAAAGGTGTCTGTGGCATGCCAGCTTTCCCTAGCCGGGACTGCTGACAAAGTCCACCTAGAGTCATAAGTGGGCAGTTGTCCGGAACGACGCCCAGCCCTGTGTCTGCACAGCCACACGCTCTCCTTCAGGGCAGACCTGCTTCCTAGGGTATCTCTGGCCTTGGGGTGGATGTGGTGTTTTCCCCGTGAGAATTAGCTG